TTATTTTTTCAAATATTGTTTCTGGACCAGTATCTCTCTTCTCATTTTGGGACTCCAGTGACTTGAATGTTGAACTTTCGATATCATCTCATTAGTCCCTAAAGTTCAATTTATATTGTTTGTAAAAACCATTTTTTTTCTCTTTTTTCAGATTGGAAAATCATTACTGCTCTATCTTCAGAGTCACTCACATTTTCCTTTGTCGTCTTCATTCTGCTGTTGAGCCCATCCAATGAATTCTTTACTTCAGATATATTTTTTAGTTCTACACTTTCAAGCTTTAAAAAAAATAGTTTCTTTTTGTCTGATGAGAATGTCTATCTTTCTATTCTTGTCAAAAGTACACATCTGTATCTCATGGAGTATGGTTATAATAAAATAATATACAATATGGTTTAAAGGCTTTGACTGATCATTCCAACATTTAGGTGTTCCCAGGGTTGGCATCTGCTAATTGTCTTGTCTTGAAAATTGGCCACATTTTCCTGGTTGTTGGCATGCTGAGTAATTTGAGAGTGTATCCTGAACACTTTGAATATTACGTTGTGAGAGTCTGAGTCCTATTAAAATCTTCTGGAACATGTTTATTTTCTGTTCCGGCAGGCAAGCAACCTGACTATGTTCAGACTGTAAGTTCAGTTTTACCTGCTACGGGTGGTGGGTCCAACGTCAGTTTGGGGTCCAAACCCTTTGCTGTGCTGTGTGCGTCTCTCCAAGCATGTGCCGCTCAGAGTTGGAACAATCTGGGACTTTGTCAGTCTTGTATCGTAGTTCAGCTCTCAAAGTCTTTACTGTGCCCTTTTGGGTCTGTCCCGCACACGGGCAGCTCCAGGTGAGCTTAGCGTTTGCGTTGACCCCTACACACGGTTATGCTGGCTGCTTCTCCAGCTCTCTTTTCTATGGAATCAGACCCCCTCCCCTCGCAGCTCCAACTTGATGGGCTTCTCGTCTCGGTTCCTCTGGCAAGATATGTAGGTTTCTCGAAGAGTTTCGGGACCCACCCTCTCCAGGCTGTCATACAGTTCAGTGTCATGGGGATACAACTGGGGCAAAGTGGCAAGATGAAAAAGACAAAAAATAGTGGGAATTGTCCCCCCCCCCTTTATTTGTCCTGACTGTAGGATCATTGGAGCATCTTTCTCTAGTTGTCTGGGTCCGTACTATTGCTGTCTCTGCAACGGTGCTAGAAAAGAGAGAGGAAAAAGAGAAAAAACAATGGGGTTTCTTCCACTTCTTCCGGCTCAAAAGGACCTTTTACGTGGTTACAGTCAGAAAAAGTGAATTTCACCCACAGATTTTGCTAACTGTACCTGCTGGTAGGTAAACGATGGTAGATTCATACAATGGAATACCATCCAACCATTTAAGTAAC